TGCACGCAGATACGCCGGAACATGTAGTTAACCGGTGTGAGACAGAGTCGGAAAACACTATGGTCTACGTTGCAAGACTTGCCTTGCCGTATGTGAGGAGCGCTGGCACCTACGGCATTCGATGGATGAACTTTTGATGATAAGCGACAGTGTCTAGGTATTCATTGGATGGATGGTGTATGCATGGGCATGCCGTTCCGGGTTGCTTTCATAATGTGGAACGCTAACCTCGATGGAGCAGACGAGAATGTGGGGCTCATGTGGCCCCCATCATGGTGATGGCGAAAGCAAGCAGCAGAGCCGCAGACGGAACGAGCATAAGTAGGCAACGACCGCCCACCAAACCGAGCAGGAGGTTTCTTACAAGTAGGCGACGTGTTGATACCAAAGTCGACGACGCCCTTTGAGGCAGGTATAACGGTGGCGTGCAGGAAATCATGTCCGGTGCCCAGGGACGTTTGCCTTCTTTTGCCTTGTTGCCTAGTAGGCGAACCACAGCAGAGCCGCATCTTATATTGTGTTAATGCCCACCCTGGGGGACACTCCCAAGATTCAATCTCAGTCTTCGAGTTGGAGATCTTACGTCAAACAGCTCCTTTCTTCTATTTCTGCGTTCTGTTGTACGCGAGGTTGCTGTCCCTGTCGTCCCGGACGTCGCATCTAGCCAAACCGGAGGCCTCGCACTACCTCGTCAACGTACGCAGTCCGACCCCTTGAACTTGAGCGCAGAGCATCGGACGCGTATGCGACAGTGTACAAGCTTGCCGGATCTTATTGGAGACTGCGTAGTCCAGGTCATCAGGATACAGTCCACGCTGAGGCTGGGTGTGCGCGCACGAGTGGGTATGTGCGCTCCAAAACTTCATCCAATCAGATCACATCGCTCCCCACGCCAAATACGGAGATCGGAATACGAACGCGAATCCTACACCTGAGACATTCAGCCGCATTATGGACACCGGTGAACTCGTCCAGACCAAATTCGCGCAGGCGCTGAAAACTCAGAGTCCAATCATCAGGGCCCACGCGTGCCCTTACCCCGGTCATGAGGGACGCGTCTTTCCGAGTGCCGACCAGCTGTATGACCACGGCAAGATAGACCATCGCGACGAGTTTGAAGGCTTGTCTCCGCGACAGGCAAGAGAGAAGTTTCGACATCTAAGCCTGAAATTCAAGTGAGTACAGGCCAAGCTGCTGTACAGGCATTTGCTAGATCAGCGTTTAATATGGCTAGCAGATCTGATCACTCGGCAGCCGCAACTGTTGGAGACCGGTCAGCGCCTGATATCGCGGCTCTTACTATAGATTCAGGAAAGGCTTCCAGGCAGAACTCACCACCCTCTGGAAGGAAACGACCCGCAGAACATGAGTTCACCAGCCCCAGAGGGAAGGGTCCGTCTCACGTGGAAGTGGCTGGTCCCGAGTTCTCTAGGCAAATTCCACAAACTGTTGTTTCGGAAAGGACACGGTCGAGACCACAGGATGCACGCCTTTTTGATCCTAAACAAAACGCCAAGTCTACCTCGTCTCCATACCAGACGACACCCGAGCCCTCCAGCGAGTGGTCAGCCGAAGCTACGAAGAGCAGTCACTTACAATCACCGCAAACTCAGTCCCCTGCTTATACACAGCAACGAACTACTCCTAAGCCCCAACAATCTCAACGCCAACCAGGTCTTATAGAACTTCAACGCTATGATCCCCGATACCCTGGTTTACTATTGCAGCCTGATAGTCGACCCATCTCGCAAGAGCAACTTGCGTCGGAAGTGAAATCTATTTACGCAGGATTAACCATGGTGGAGACCAAGTGTATACATGTGGATCGCGCACAAGCCGCAGCTGCGCAAGATGGTGATACCAAACTTGCGTCGGATCATTGGCAAGCTTTGATCGCTCTTCACCGGACGCTATTACATGAGCATCATGACTTTTTCTTAGCTAGTCAGCATCCCTCTGCATCGCCGGCTCTCCGACGTCTTGCCGCCAAATACTCGATGCCTGCACGCATGTGGAAACATGGTATCCATTCCTTCTTGGAGTTACTTCGGCGGCGTCTTCCTGACAGTATAGATTATATGCTGGCATTCATCTATTTGGCGTATCAGATGATGGCTTTGTTGTACGAAACCGTTCCAGCTTTCGAGGATACATGGATCGAGTGCCTCGGAGACCTTGGCCGATATCGGATGGCGATTGAGGACGAAGATGTCCGGGACCGTGAGACTTGGGCAGGCGTCGCGCGCTCTTGGTACACCAAGGCTGCCGATAAGAATCCTACTGTGGGTCGTCTATATCACCACCTCGCTATCTTGGCACGACCAAATGCTCTCCAGCAAATGTACTACTACTCTAGGTCTCTGACCTGCGTCAAACCATTCCAGAGCGCGCGAGAGTCAATCTTGACTCTACTGGATCCTATTCTTGGTCGTGCAGGCGCACCTCTCACACATGCCTTAGCGATCGACACCAACTTCATCAAAGCACACGGGCTGCAATTCGGAGAGTCTTGTGTGGACACGGCTCAGGGGCAGAAGCATCAGCATACAACTGAGTTCATGGACGCGAAGGCGGACTTCATCGGAAACCTGGACAATCACATTGGTCGTGTGACAGCAAAATGGAAGGAGCAGGGTGTATACATCGCGGTTACCAATATTGCCGGCTGGTTTGAATACGGGAAAAACGACAATCTTCTTCGCCAGATTTTGCTGCTTCCGATCTGGGGGAGAGCAGAAGATCCTCAAAAGGCGACCGAAGACAAGATTCGGAGTGCATCTCCGGCTGACCAACAGAATCCAATGAAGCCTTTAATTGCCTCGAGCAAGCCCGAAGATATTGAGCAGGATATTAAGAAGGCAATGGACAAGTTCAAAGTCCTTCAGACCTTCATCAACGCAAAATCGATCACGAGGGAGACGTTCGCTCTCGTACTCCGCCGCATCGGCGACAAGAACGTGCTTCCTCACGTACACATTATGCTCGCTTTTCTTTCTAGCTTTGCTTCCAGTACATACGTTTCCGATCTCATTGAGGACGCGCCTTGGGCCGAACTCGTTGCTTTCCTTAATACGTTGGTCAAGACGGAGAACCAGATCCAGAGTCATTCACAAAGCCATACGCCCAACATCGATACAATACTGGCTTCCGGTGTATTTCCTGGGGAGGGCGAGAGGGGCGACGAGCTGCCTTTGCCTGAGGATTATCTTGTGCGAGGCTTGATCTGGGCAGACGATTACTTTCCCATCAAGTGGTTTGAGAGAGAGCATGACGAAGAGGAGCGATATTTGGAGTTGGCGAGTACAGTCAAACATCGCATGGAGAGGGTCTTGAGACTGGGCTATGCAATCGCAAAGGCAAGTACATGTTCTGCTACTTCACCTTCTTTTCTCTAACTTTGCCCTAGCATCAAGAGTGGATCACATACGCTAAGGACTCTCATACATTTTCTGTCCGGACCCAATGACGCCGGGCGCCCCAAATCGGTTTTGTGCCTACGCTTGATTCTATGCAATAGACGGTACATGTCTTTTGGTCACCCAGAGTGAGTCTGATGCTTTTTCTACACGACACCATTCCATGCGTAATTGTGAAGGATCGGACGTGCGCAATATATGGGCGCATTATCTTTTCGAGATTGCATGCGTATGTCCAAGTTTTCGGGGAAAGAGAGAATCACAAACCCAGAAAGAGATATTCGGCGCAATAGCTCTTGATTATTGTTATACGCTCATTATCTGGTAAATCATCGCTCGGTGCAGCACTGGTAGGATACAGCCAAAGGAAGTGCCAAAGCTGGGCCATGATCGTTTGCAAGCAACATAAGTGAAACACACAAATTTTATACGTTCTTCTGTTATCTTGTTCGTGATTTTGTAAGGGTGACAAGTGCGCCACGCCCCAAGGATTTTCTAACAAAACTCCATGTTTGCCGGGTGACCCTGAGCTCTTTGGCAGATCTGCATCGGTAATGCCTGCCTCTCACTCCGCTCTGGATATAGAACAACTTCATCAGAACGTCACCTGTAAGGTAGACGTCGTACAGGCCAGGCACATTACCCCACCCAAGGTCGATGTCGTCTCTGGAGCCCGGGTTTCCGGGCTAAAAGTGTACAACTTCGTAGCTAGTAGTATCACCCTTCCGACTAATTTCATACTTCCCGTACTTGTGTGTTTTTTTTTAGGCGTAAAGGTGCCCATGACGGAGGTTTTCAACGTTGTACCAGTGTTTCTAAGGACGGGACATGGCAAGCGAAAACAAGGTCCCTCATTGGTTCTGTACATGTCTCGAGTGAATCGCGGTTATGTGCTCAGGTTGGAGTGATTGCGAGATCTCATAGGTAGGGATGCTGAGACAGTCTTATTTCCGTGCTTTTGAGAGGGTGGCATCACGCCCTGCATTTGCGGCCGGTTGTATGCAGCTTATGCATACGCATGGTATTTGATGGCGCAGTGACGATGGAAAGGTGCAGGTGATGTAAGTTGCGATGCGTTGGGAGGTGTTGAGTCGGAGAGAATCGGGATGTGCTGAGATTGGCGTTGGCGGACGGTAACGGCTTAGCGCCAAAGCGGATCCCCGAGCTGGCGGGAGCTGAGCAACTTTTCGAATCAACACCCTCTGAACCTCACGGCATACCCACGCCTCCCCCTCGGCTGCTTCCCCCACACCTCACAATGCTGTCCAGGACAATCAGGCGGAGCATTGCGTCGCCCTTCCGCCGCAATGCCGTGGCCCCAGCGGCGCGACCCGCCTTCAGGTTCGTGACGACGGATGCGGCCTCATCGCACACGGACCCGGCCAATGTGCCATCGGTAAGAGGACACGCAGGCAGCCAGCCGTGTGGCTGTGGAGCAAGCAATGGACCGTTGACTGTGTGCAGGAGGACGACAAGCCGTTCGAGATCCGCCTCTCCGACGAGGCCTTTGAGACGTACGAGCTCGACCCGCCGCCGTACACAATGAACGTCACCAAGAAGGAGCTCAAGAAGATGTACTACGACATGGTCGCCGTACGGTAGGAACACCCGCCACGCCGGGATGCGAACACGATCAGCGTCTAACAGGCAACAGACGCATGGAAATGGCCGCCGACAGGCTCTACAAGGAGAAGAAGATTCGGGGTTTCTGCCATCTGTCCACCGGCCAAGAAGCCGTCGCCGTCGGTATCGAACACGCCATCGAGCGCGCCGACCATCTCATCACCGCCTACCGCTGCCACGGCTTCGCTCTGATGCGCGGCGCATCTGTCAAGTCCATTATCGGTGAACTCCTCGGCAGGAGGGAGGGCATCGCGTACGGAAAGGGTGGCTCTATGCACATGTTTGCCCCCGGCTTCTACGGTGGTAACGGTATCGTCGGAGCCCAGGTCCCCGTCGGCGCTGGTATTGCCTTTGCCTGCCAGTACGAGAACAAGAAGAACGTCACCCTGGCTCTGTACGGAGACGGTGCTTCCAACCAGGGCCAGGTCTTTGAGGCATTCAACATGGCCAAGCTCTGGAACTTGCCCGTCATCTTTGGCTGCGAGAGTGCGTACAAACACCACGTGGACATGCGCCGGATTTACTAACACCCCGCAGACAACAAGTACGGTATGGGAACCGCCGCTAACCGCTCATCTGCCCTCACCGACTACTACAAGCGTGGACAGTACATCCCTGGTCTGAAGATCAACGGTATGGATGTCCTCGCCGTCAAGGCCGCTGTCAAGTACGGAAAGGAGTATGCCGCCGCGGGCAAGGGTCCCCTTGTCTACGAGTACGTCACCTACCGTTACGGAGGACACTCCATGTCTGACCCTGGAACCACATACCGAGTAAGTCACACCGCTCTACAACATCACAAAGCATGTACTGACGAACAATCAAAGACTCGTGAGGAGATCCAGCGCATGCGCAGCACCAATGACCCCATTGCCGGCCTCAAGCAGAAGCTCCTCGACTGGGGCGTTACTTCTGAGGAGGAGCTCAAGTCGATTGACAAGCAAGCACGTTCTGAGGTCGACGAGGAGGTTGCTATTGCGGAGAAGATGGCTGTCCCCGAGGCTACTGGCAAGGTACTATACGAGGACATCTACGTCCGTGGTTCGGAGCCTGAGTTCCTGAGGGGACGCATCCCAGAAGAGAACTTCTACTACACTGAACACGACATGGGTGGTGAGAAGAAGCCTGTTGCCAGGACAGCATAAAGCTCTTCGGCTTTTCACGGGGTCATGATTGGAGACACGGTTAGGTGATGAGAGGGATCTGTAATTCTAGGATTTAGAGGCTTCTACATGCGTGTAACAGCTAGGGAGCGCAGTCTTGCATTGAATGACATTTCTTGGAATCCCACTCAGTTTTGATCTGTGTGGTGCACGTAGAGTGACGTTGGTTTCGAGATGTGAGTTTTTAAAAAGGATAGATCATTCGCTTTCGTCCAAAGATGCTACTAGCGCCTCCGTGCGCCGGATCCCCGCAGAGAATGCAGTGGTGACGAGAACAATACCTCACGTGCTGAAGACGCAGTTTGCATAATATCTGGCATAGCGGGAGCAATAGTACATCTTCGTTGGCTATATATCTACACATATCAAACTCCAACAACCAAGACGCGGTCTATGCTGTGGGAGGATCAATGTGTTGTGTCTGACCAGCGAAGAACTCCTTTTGTGCCAAGCACCTCTCGCTTGTGCACTTTGGACACCTGAGAATCATTTGTGGGCTGCAAGCCTTCCCACTCTGCAAATGTGCCTTGGCGATGTCCGCGAGCGCTTCGATGAAGACGGGACTGTCGTTCAAGCTGTCGACACGTTTGACACCCTCGTGGCCTTCCGCATCCTCGCCAATGACCTCCTTGTCGAGTTCGTATAGTGTCTCGATATGGTCGCTGGTGAAGGCGATGGGTACGAGGAGCATGTCTGTGTGGCCCTTCTTCATGTATTCCTTGACAGTGTCGGAGGTTTGTGCTCCGAGCCAAGGTTGAGGGCCGACCTGTGACTGCCACACGAGACGATATCTGTACTTCATCTGGAGGCGTTGCATAACGGCGTATACGGTCGCTGCCACTTCAGACGGGTATGGGTCGCCGCGGTTGACAACGGTCATGGGGAGACTGTGTGCGGAGAAGAGAATGACAACGCCGTCTCGTCTCTCGACTGGGTACTCGGCCAGCTTCTTCTCGATGTGTTGGGCAAAGGCTTCAACCAGACCTGGGTGCGCCGGCCAGCGGTCAATCACACTCCACTTGATGGCGCCTTCGGGCTCCACCTCTTGACCAGTCTCTCCGTTTGCACGCTTGCCTTCCAGTCTTGTCCTCCATTTCCAGAGCTCGTTGAGAGAGGAGCCGGTGGTCGAGCAGGAGTATTGGGGGTACTGTGTGAAGGCTACGGCACGGCCGCCCTTTCCTCCTCCAAAGCCGTCTGCTAGCAATTGCTTGTAGGTATCTTCGGTGAGGGGATTTGCGTAGCGGAACGCGACGTAGGGCTTGTGGGGAGCAGTCTCAGGTGAGGTCTTGTCGAGGATCTTACACATCTCCGCGGCTTGATATTCCGACCATTTCCTGATGGGCGATCCGCCACCGATCTCTGCATACTGCTTCTGAATTTTTGGTGTTCGTCTCCGCGCAATGTAGGGGCCAATATAGTTTTGGAGGGGTCCGAGGGGAATCAAGTCCTTGTCGGCCTACACTCCGTAAGCTGAGAATCGATGATGCGCTTGGACCGATTACGTACAAACAACATGCTCAGGAAGCCATGCACTTCATCCGTTGTTGACGGCCCGCCCATGTTCATGAAGACCATTGCAGTCGGCCCCTTTGAGCCGGGCGTCATCTGAGTAGGGGCGACTGTCGCGTTGCCTCTCCTCCATTGTGCACTGTACGACGAGATGATGGATGTGGCGGGTGTGGTGGACGTTGCACGCTTTGCAGCGCGGGAACAGGATACGCGGAGAGCCATTGCGAGGTGTGTGACGACAAAGAGGGCGTCTTCCCGCAGTGATGTGTCGAGGAGAAGATGCCGAGGCCAGAACAACAGCGTGAATAATGCTCGGAAGCGCAAGTCGGAGAAAGCTCTGGCCAATGGCAGCAGTCTTGTTGGCCGTTGATGACGATCGTGGCTGGCGATCGGACGCTAGGGTTTGCCCCACAGCAGCCTCGCAAACACGTGCCGACGTGTTGGAGCTAGTGCGCGCGTTCCGCTCTGCTGCCTAGGCTACTGTCCCGCGTTGCACCGGCCTGTGCTTGACGGCCTTCAATGCCACCGGTGCCATCGCCCAGCTGAGCTGCAATTCGACAACACAGCAAGTAAACCTCACTCGAGCTGAACGCGACGGGCATCATGGCGGCTCCACAGGACAATCGACCACGTGAAGAAGAAGACGAAGAGGAGGAGATTGACGACTCTGTACGCTCGCGTTCCAGCTTTGGCATTGGCAAGCGTTACTGACAGCATGTAGAGCTACAAGACTATCAAAGACGCCGTTCTCTTCGCAATCGACGTCAGTCCTACCATGCTTGAGCCACCGCCCAAGTCGGAAGACAAGAAAGCCGAGCGCGACTCCCCCACGTCTGCTGCGTTGAAATGCGCCTACCAGCTGATGCAGCAGCGCATCATCTCGAACCCAAACGACATGATGGGCATACTGCTTTTCGGTACCGAGAAGACAGACTTGAAGGACGGTGACAACACGTCTCAAAACTGCTACCTCCTTGCAGACCTTGACGTCCCGTCCGCTCAGGACGTCAAGAGGCTCAGAGATATGGTCGAGAACGAAGACGAGGCCGAAGAGATATTGAAGCCTGCCAGGGACGGTGCCAGCATAGCAACGGTACTGTTCTGTGCAAACCAGATCTTCACTACAAAGGCGCCCAACTTCTCGTCAAGACGCCTGTTCGTGGTGACGGACAACGACTATCCGATCAAAGTCAAGGCAGACAAGGACACGGCAGTCACCCGAGCACGTGATTTGTATGACCTCGGCTGCACCATTGACCTGTTTCCCATCTCACAGCCAGATCGTACCTTTGACCGATCGCGCTTCTTCGATGATCTTGTCTATCCCACATCACCATCCGATCCCGAAGCCCCCGTTACTTTACCGTCGACCACCAAAGTTGCGAAGAGCGGCGAAGGCATTTCGCTCCTCAAGCAGCTCATATCCTCCATCAATTCCAAAGCCACACCCCGTCGCGCTCTGTTCTCACTGCCCATGGAGCTCGGTCCTGATCTTCGCATCGGGGTGAAAGGATATATTCTCATCAAGCGGCAGGAACATGTCAAGTCGTGCTACGTTTGGGTTGGAGGTGAAAAGCCACAGATAGCGACTTCGTCAACACAACAACTGGCAGGCGATTCGGCGCGGGCCATGGAAAAGACGGAGATGCGCAAGGCGTACAAGTTTGGCGGCGATGCAATCACCTTTACGCCCGAAGAGATTACACAGATAAGACAATGTTTTGGGGAGCCTGTGATCCGGATCATTGGCTTCAAGCCTCTCTCCAGCGTCCCACTATGGGCCAACACGAACAAATCAACATTCATCTACCCTTCCGACGCAGACTACATTGGCTCCACTCGTGTCTTCTCGGCTTTACAGCAAAAGCTACTCAAGTCCCAAAAGATGGGCTTGGTATGGTTCATTCCACGTCGCAACGCTGCACCTACACTTGCCGCTCTTATACCCGGTGAAGAGAGGCTCAATGAGGAAGGCGACCAGTTGACACCACCGGGCCTTTGGCTCGTACCCCTGCCTTTCGCGGACGACATCCGCCAATTCCCAACGCCACCAGAGCAGCCCCTCAAAACCACGGATGCGCTGACAGACAAGATGCGCCTCATCATTGAGCAATTGCAACTGCCCAAAGGTGTCTACGACCCATCCAAGTATCCCAATCCGGACCTGCAATGGTTCTACCGCATCTTACAAGCGCTAGCCCTGGAAGAAGAACTCCCACTCCAGCCTGATGACAAAACGATTCCTCGCTACAAACAAATCGACAAGCGCTGTGGCGAGTACATTGAAGACTACGGCAGAGAATTCCAAGCAGCATACGAGCAGCAACATAAGTCTGCACTTGCCCACCGCGCTAAACCCACGGCCAAGAAACGCCCTGGCGGCGGCGCAGACAGTGACGACAAGCCAGTGCCCAAAAGGGTAAAAAAAGAGTCAAAAGTCAAAGCCGAAAGTGGAGACGAGGAAGAAGCAATGACTGACCAGCAAATGGCCGACCTGAATAATGGTGGAAAGATTAGCAAGCAAACGGTAGCCGTACTGAAGCAGTGGCTTGGCGCGAGGGGTCAGAGTACTGGGGGTAAGAAGGCTGAGCTTTTGGAGAGGGTGCAGGAATATCTCGACGGCAAGGGTTTATGAGGCCTTCTAATCGAAGGATGTGTGATGATCAAGCGAGGCGTTTCGGTGTCATGCTTCGCTCGCGTTGTCCCGCCAATCGAGTTCAGACTGAATTGCACGGATATGATACAGTAATCTTCACAGACTTGTACCACGGGTATGCAATCTCTGCATGTGTGAAATCTTGTGTTCTTCTCATAATGTCATTGGGGAAATTCTTCATGACGCGCATGTTATGCATAAGAAGGGGGTCGAAAGCGACTCCCAACCTTGCCCATGGCCATGGAGCTTAATAGCCTTCTAGCAATCACGCTGTAGCTCAACCCTCCCCACCACTCGCGTTCTCATCCTCCGAATCCTCCTCGTATTTTTGTTGCGTGGATTTGTCTTCGCGCTTCCTCTTGGTGGCTTCGATACCACCAGAGGTCAGGTAAAGGAACTGCGGGTCCTTGTAATTATCCAGATGTGTGAAGAAGGTGTTGAATCTAGAGCTTGTTAGCGTTCATGTCCGGTGTCGTAAAATCCAGAAAGGAACTCACTGGTTGCCTTCTGCCTCTTCGCGGAAGATGCGCTGGTAAATCTCCTTCTCCTTGAAGTCTTCAATCTTGTCGTTGTACTTGTCAAAGTCAATCGTCTCGCGTCCGTGTTGCTTAGCAGACTTTGCGTTGTACGAGTCGAACACCGGCCTCTCGAGTAATAGGCCCAGGCCGGGGGCCTTGGGTATCCGGACAACTTCGTTACCGAAACTCTTGTCCATGATTTCAGGATCGGTACCGCATCGTACTGTCAGGGCGGCCATGCCAACCATTTTGCGGATCTGGTGCATCATGAAGCTCTGGCCGTGTACCTTTAAGCTCAACCATTCTGTATCGTTGATAATGATGGGCTTGGGTGCGACTTTGAAGCTCTTGATGTAGCGCTGGGCGGACTTGTCATTGTACTTCTTGTGCACGGTGTAGTTGTGGTAGCGGTGGGTTCCAAGGTACTTGTCAAGTGCGGCTTGTACACGCGCTTGTCGCTCGGGAGATATGCGATATGCTTTCTTGACGTCCAGGTATGCCTTCTTCAGAGTTTTGATGGCTTCCTCGAGGACCGGTTGGTTGACTACGCCTTCAGGAAGGGGACGAGAACCGTCAGTGGAGCTGTCGAGAGTGATGCTGGGTTCATTTTGTTGTATCGTGTCGATGACTTGCTTGACCTCGTCTGGTGGGTTTCCGCTTGCGTCGAGCCCACCTTCGTCTGGCTTTGCAGTTTGCTCCGCCGCTTCGACGTCCGTAGGCTTCTCTTGCTTGGTCTGATGATCAATCGATGCATCGACTATACGATCTTGTCCAGGCGGTGCATCGATCGCTTCAACGTTGTAAAGCGCTTCTTGTACGAGGGATCGTATCGAATCGTCTAGCGAGTCCAGAATGGGCTTGATGTGCTTCTCTTCCGTCTCGGGCCAGAAGTCGGCTACCTCAGCCTGTCGCTCGCGGTATCCCTCCACATCGTTCTCCGCTTCCGCAAACTCCTCCAATTTTTTCCCTAGGTAGCTCGAAGGATGCGGCGGGAGGAACGAGTGGGTCGGGATCAAGTATTCGTACCACCGTGAGTCGCACGCCTGGTAACAGCTGAAGGAGCCAATGGTTCGCTGGATGCCCCACACCCTGATCTGCTCGGGGAGATGGCTGTTGATCTTGTCCACGATATCTTCCTCTTCGATGATCAACTTCAACGACACAATGTTGCCTGCTGCATGGACACCCTTGTCGGTACGCGCGCAACGAACGAGGGAGGATTTCTTGGGGTCGGATGCGTTTGCCTTGGATATGGCGCCAGCGGCGACAAAAGCGTTGAAGAGGTCTCCTTCAATGGTCTTTTGCTTGTAGTCGATCTGCATGCCCTTGTAGCCGGTACCTGAGTAGCCGATCATAACTGCAACTTTGCGCTTCGGCCTGCGCTCTTCTGCCTCGACCTCCTCTGCAGGGAATGCCGCAGGCAGGGCGGGCCGGTCCTCGCCCTTTTCCTCTTGCTCCTTATACTTGGCTTGTTGTTCGGCATTGCGGTCCCGTCGGTCTAGTTGGGTAGAGCTTGCTTAGTTAGAGACGGGCGCGGAGCAGATGGGCAGCGGCTCACTGATGTTCCTTACGCCCCATATTTCTTTTCTTATTCGGACGGCTTCCATGCTGGTGCCGTCCACCACCTCCCCGCGAAGCATTTCTGCGGTCTTTGTCGGCCCATTTGCGCTTCTTGTCGCGTTGGTCGCGGCTCGACGAATCATGGTCGCGGCGGGGTCCTTCGTTGTCCGACATGGCCGCTGAAGACGAGTGAGCAGCTTTGTCCGGTAGAGCAAGCTGCGGGTCATAGGTAAGTTGGTGTGGAAGTTTCAGCGAAGTGATTGGCACTAAATTTGGGTGGACTCGGCACGCACGCCTCACCGCCTGCGTCACCGCTTACTGCCGCAGGCGTACCTGGGTAGTTCAATCGCGCGTGCCTGCCTGGACTCTTACAACATTTCACCTTCGCTTCGACTCAACCACCCACTGTCTCGTCAGCCCCCCCCCCGGCGCACGCACATCGCACAAGCTAGAGAACGATGCGCTCTTCCCGATCCACATAAGACCGTTGCAAACCGAGTGTCCCGTCTGCAACTTGGGCTGGCGCATGGGAATAAAGCCGTCCGTCCCCCACGCATCTTTCCGGCCGTCATCCGAGCTGAACCCGATTCCGTGCCTGCACCACCGCAATCATGGGCGCGGCAATGAAGGACCCCGTGGAGAAGAGCGGAGGGGATCCCGTACAAGCCGTGAAGCAGTTGCTCAGGACAGTCGTCCGTATGTTCTACGAGACCGAGCACATCGTCATTATGGACGCGCTCTGCTATCACGGCGCGCTGCCCGTGGCCGACATGACCATTATCCTCGACGCAGGCAAGAACTCGAAACATGTCAGCAAGGTTGCGGGTAAGCTTCGGGAGGCAGGGCTGTGTTCATCCTACACTCAGCATGTCCTGCGCCAGGGTGCAAACAAGGCATCAAGCAGAGAGTTCTTTTACATTGACTGGCGCCGCGCCGTCGACTCTGTCAAGTACAAGATTCACAAGATTGATGAGGGCATCAAGAGGGACGCGAAACCCACTACCGAGAAACCCGAGTTCAAATGCCTGAGATGCAAATCCACATACACGACCATGCAGGCGCTTGATCACCCCGATACGAACCCTGGGCCAGACGACAGCGGCTTCATCTGCGCGAGATGCGGATTCCGATTAGACGAGATCGACCAAGATATTCAAGCGGACGACGTCGACGACACCCCAGCCAAGTTCAATAAGCTGTTTGGCCCGCTGATCGAGATGATGTCAAAGATTCAGGACATGGGCAACCTTCCAGCGTTGGAACCGCCAGACATTATCAGCGAAAGGATCGAGCTTCCTCGAGATAGGAATGTCGACCCTGGTACGCAGGTCGAGGTTATCGAGACGACGGCCTCACGCCCAACCGCCGTCAAAGGCATTGACACAGGCCCAGAGAAGATCAATGTGCAGATAGGCTCGAGCGCAGAGCAAAACGAGAAGCAGCGAGCGGCAGACCGGGCTCGTCAAGAGAAGATATCCATGCAGAACCAGCTTCCCACTTGGCATACAAAATCAACTGTCATCAAAGATGCGGCAGGGAATACGACCACTGTGAAGCAAGAGGCGGACGGGATCGACAATTCCAGTATCAAGACGGAGGCAGGGGATACAATGGGCACCAATCAGAACCTTGATGCAGTCTTCGCCCAGATCGAAGCCGAGCGCCGCAGGAAGGAGCAGGAGGACGACGACGAGGACGACGAGGATGACGATGAGGACGAGTTTGAAGATGTCGATGTGGGCACGCCCAGTGCTCTACCGGAAGCGAAGCGTGTCAAGCTGGAATCGTCCGCCGCTCCAACTCCTTCCGCCGCTGCCACACCAGCAGCAGCAACCCCAGCCGCATCCAACGGCGGCGATGAAAGCGAAGAGGATGAATTCGAGGATGTAAACTGATTGATCACATAGCGATGGCGTTTGTTTATCCAGGGTGGTCTCTGAAAGCATTGTCGGATGGCGTGTCTTTTCAATGGCGTTTTCGCATACACTGGGCTATGTTCACCGCTGGAAACATGGAAAGCGTTTATTTAGATTGCATGTACCAAATGAGATGACTTGACACTTTTGCACAAGGAGCCGAGCCATCGAAATAGCTCCAAACATGCGACGAGGCGGTGTTGGTTGGTGTGGCCATTGAGTACATACAGCCTTAGAATACCAAGGCAGTGGAACTTGGGGCAAGGGTCGTGTCCTAGGCGAGCTTGCACCATGCCACCTCAGATCCCCGCGTACCTTCACTAAGGCCTCCGCAGACCAGACCCCCCGCGAGCACACCAGCGCCCATCGCTGTCGCTTCAACATCTGCGCCGCTGCCCGATGGACCGAGGATAAAGCGCGAATCGACCATGGCCGCATCAACCAAATCCCTCTCGTCGCTGCTTGCGCAAGCCACCATCGCCGACCACGACGAAGTGCTCACGGCCGCCAATGCAGCCCTGGGCAGGTCCAAGGGCGATTTGGATGCGCAGCACACCAAAGCAGTAGCGCTGCTTCATCTGGACCGCTACGCGGATTCATTGCAAGTGTTTGAGGGTGCACACGAGCTGCAGGAGAAGGCGCGGTTCGAGTACGCATACGCCCTCTACAAGACTGGCAATGCAGCCAGGGCTGCCCAGGTAGCCGCAGCGGCAGGGCCAGACGCCGGCCGGGGGATGAAGCACATGCTTGCCCAGGCCGTATGTACTCGACGGCAGCGGGGCCGCAGACATCGCTGACACAGACACGCCAGGCATACCGCTCGGAGAACTTCGCGCACGCCACCAAGATCTACCGGGACCTCGCCGACCAGAACGTGCAAACCGAAGAGTACGATATCCGCATCAATGCGGGCGCCGTCGATGCACAGCTCGAGTGGACAGGCCAAGGCGAGCTTGCCCAGAAGAAGCAGCCCACACGTGAGGACCTCGACGTCTTCGAGACTGCCTTCAACGCAGCATGCGGCAGCATCTCTCGCAATGAGTTTGGCCAGGCTCAAGTGTGTCTGAAGCGCGCCAAGGACCTGTGCAATGCTCTTTCGGACCTCAGCGAGGAAGAGAAGAAGGCCGAGTTGCTGCCAATTACCGTGCAGCAGGTCTATGTGCTCACGCAATTGGGCAAGACGGATGAAGCAGAGGAGCTGGCCACCAAGATCCCCTTCGCTGAGTAAGACGATCATGCCCGGCTCAGAACCAACACTGACAGCAGCAGCATCAAGGAGCTCTCAACCCGCTACATCGCCCAGGTCAACACCATCGCCGCCTCGAAGCAGCACTCGAACCCGTACCTCTCACATCGTCTGTTCCACGCATCGCCGCAGCCCCCCGTCACCGACCAGCACTTCTCCTACCAGTCCAACATCCTGCGACAAGACGAATATGTCATGGCCCTGCTATCGCAAAAGGTCGCTGGCGTCGCATCGTCCACCGAGAAAGTCATCTCTGCATCGCCTGCTCCGTCCCTGTCCCCTGCCATCAATATGGCGGCGGTGCTCAACGCAGCAGCCCACGCCAGGAATGCAGACACCGAGAAGGCTGCGCTGAGGGAAATAGTACCATTGCTGGAAAAGAGACCGACCGATGTGGGTCTAATACTAACTATAACACACTTATACGTCATCACCAACAACTACGCTGCGGCAACACATCTCCTAGAATCCTTTTTCAAGCGTTTGGAACAGAGTGCCTCGGCGTCCGATCTCGACGTACGGTTCGCACCAGGGCTGATTGCCGCACTCGTCTCCCTTTACGCACAACAAGGCCGGCCCGGCGCGTCAAAGAACGAGCTAGCAAAAGCAGCCGAATACTGGCGGAAGCCTCACAAGTCGAAAACAGAGGCCCCATCAAAGTCTCTCATGGTTGCTGCCGGTACCGCCCTCCTTGATACTCATAATCCAGAGAACGTTAGATCTGCAGGAGAGATCTTCAAGGGCTTGTACAACCAGGACAACGAAGATCGAGCGTCTATTGCTGGTCTCATAGCCGCATACAGTATCACAGATCCATCGTCAATACCTGCGGATCTTTTGTCTTATTTACCAGAAGCCAACCGACTGGTATCCGACGTGAATGCCGTTGAACTTGAAAATGCAGGCGTCCCACTCGGTAGCCTCACGTCGGTCAATCTTGGAACAGAATCCCGGAAACGTAGCCTTGCACCAGCCAAGGAGGCGCCGGCCAGAGCGAAGAGGTTGCGCAAGTCGAGAATGCCAAAGGACTATGTCGAGGGTAAAAAGATGGACCCCGAAAGATGGCTCCCTATGCGTGATAGGAGCTACTACCGTCCAAAGGGCAAGAAAGGAAAGAAGAGAATGGAAGGCCTTACCCAGGGTGGAGTCGTGGCAGACGACAAGGGAACACCAGCCGCTCAGGAGAAGAAGGGTGGCGCTGAGAAGGGGAAAAACAAGAAGAAGGGCAAGGGTGGCAAGTGGTAGAAAGCAGCCTACGGTGCTTCTCTAGACAAAAACTCACAGATAGATCTGTATCGCAATGCCATCTAAGACGATACACCATATGCGAGTCATGTATCGATACCCCCCCTGCTACATGCGTACTTGCTGCTGAGCACTTGAAGCTACCCCGCTATCTCTTCAATGACCAGAACAGCGCGTCACTAAGCATGCGTTTCTCAATCACCATTCCGATTCAGTAATTCTTCATCTAAAATATGTCGGACGAAAAGCGGAAAGACTACTGTTACACGCAATGGACACGTTACGTGCCAGAGTGGGCGAAAACTGGATACCACCAGAAGCCGAGGTTCACCGTGAACATCTCTACATTAGCTCGAATCGACTCTATGCCAAGTACTAAGTAGAGCTAGCAAGTCCTTACATGCTCTTACGTCTGGGCTTAAGTTGTCCAGGATCAACGTGGAAGATCTAGTAGACCCCACCGCAGCTTCGAGACTGTTTAGCTCCTGTTGTACTTAAAAGGGTGACCGCATCTCGTACTCGCTGTACATGCTCTCTTCAATCATCAACAATTTCGACAGCAAACTACCACATCACCTACCCAATTGCATACAGAACACTATTTCATAACATACAGAAAGATGCCGGGCCAACAAACTCGCCAGTGGGTTCTTGCCAACCCACCACTCAACGACCCCGTCATTGAAGGCAACGACGCGACCTTTTCGCTCCAAACCATTGACCTCCCAAGCCCAACCGCTGATCAAGTCCTCATCAAAGTACTCTACTTCTCCAATGACCCCGCACAAAGAGGATGGTGAGTTTGACTACACAAAAAAATCCCGTAGAACACGACTGACTTGTGTCTACAGGATCCAGAAAGACATGGACCCTGAGCGCCTCTACGTGGAGCCGGTGAAGCAAGGTGGAGTAATGCGTTCCTTCGCCATTGCCGAGATTGTCGAATCCAGCACCGATAGCCTGCCCAAGGGTCAACTCGTCATGGGCGACTTCGGCTGGACAGAATATGCCGTTGTATCCAACAAAGCCGTTCGCCCCATCCAAGCCGACGAGAGCGCCGGCATCCGCCCCACGCACTTCATCGGTGCACTCGGCGGAACAGGTCTGACCGCGTACTACGGCCTCATCGACATCGCGCGCGCCTCTTCCTCCGACACGGTCGTCGTTTCCGGAGCTGCGGGAGCTACCGGCTCCATGGTTGTGCAACTCGCTAAGCACGTTCTTGGATGTAAACGCGTCATCGGCATTGCCGGTGGTGAGAAGAAGTGCCGCTGGGTCGAGAGTCTGGGCGCAGATGTTTGCGTCGACTACAAAGCCGCGTCTTTCGAGGCTGACCTCAAGAAAGCCACGGAGGGCTACGTAGAAGTCTACTTTGACAATGTTGGCGGTGACATCTTGTCGCTCATGCTGGGTCGTATGAAGCGCCACGGACGCATCGCTGCGTGCGGCGCCGTCGCAACGTACAACTCCATGGGCGACAGCGGCGTCAAGAACTGGTTCGAGATTATCAGCAATCGCATTGAGGTCAGAGGCTTCATTGTTATCGATGCTATTGAGTCGGGCAAGGCTGGTCAGTATATCCAGGAGTTGATCAAGGGAGTCAAGGGGGGTAAGCTCAAGGTTGGACCCGAAACGGAGACAGTGGTTAAGACTAAGTTTGAGGATGTGCCCAAAACTTGGATGATGCTTTTCCAGGGTGGCAACACGGGCAAGTTGGTTACGGAGGTACAGGCCTAGGTTAGCATACGACCAACTGCATAGATGTTGAGTCAATGTTACAAATGAAAAGTACTCAAACCGTGCATCGCACAGGAACAGGTGTGACATTTGCATATCCGGAGATGTATATCTACAGCATATGTCATGTCGTGTAAACCATAGCCCAATTCAGTCTTCGCAGTCGCTTTGTCCAACTGAATCACTCATTGCCGTTGCACTCGCTTGACTTGTATGCTTGAACTTGATGGCAAACGGCTTCTATATGACTGTAGCTTGTATCATATCTGCTGTTGACCTTTAGATAGAGTATCTTTCAAAAAGTAACGAGTCATTGCTATCTTCGGGGGTAGACGCTTTAACGGGTGCTGACTGTTGTACATGGGTTTCTGCGCATCATGATAAGCAAATGTAGACAAAACTTACTCTGAGTGAGACGGCGGAGAATATCGAAGGCAGCTTCTATAATCAGGTATGAGTCGCCGTATGAGTGTAAGATGTCTTCACTGCGTCGCGTGATATGAAGGAACACGAAAGTCATAGTTAATGACCTCTGAGTGACTATAGGTAGTTTGCCCACCCCTAACCTGCAAACTATGATGAGAACATGACGATACTTGTGAGTTGGCCCATCTTGAGGTACTCGCCAATGGAGAAGTGGTGGCACCACCCAAGCTTCCGTCGAAACGATCCACGCTGTAGACTTAGTGTAACATGCGCATGTTAGAGTAGCTACGCCTTGCAAACGGAGTCATTAAGGAGAGTTCTGTCAAGTGTAACAGGAAGAAAACTGCGATGCCGTTATTCATTTCGTCATAGTCTACATGGAACCCTTCAGATATACCGCGGGTTGCCCTGCACGGTCTTCTTGACATTCTCGAAAGGTTCTAATGCGATGGGCGCTTGATAGAGCTCCGGTACTCTCGCGCCCATGTAAACTTTTGCGCACCATCCTGCTTCGGTCTGTGCTCCCTTCATCTCGTAGTATTTTCTCGCAACCATAAGCGGTGTCAACGATCCGAATTTTGCAGTGTAACCAGTGACGGGCCGACAATTGTACGGCACGCTTCGACATATCGAATCTGCATAGCTGCTGAGCTGGCGGTCCCACATGTACAATTGCTTCATATCGAGTTGTCGATGCTGCCGGAGCAACTTGAATGTGTTGCCTTGCAAGATCAACATGCTCATCCAGTAGATAAGGTAGCAAATGCCGGCCCCAAAGTAGTGGAAGTAGAAGACGGGATCGAATACGCGGTCTGCGCAAATATCCAGGAAGCCATCCATGAAGGCAACGTCTACCGTGTCGTATCGCGGACCGTGTCTTTCAAAGGTTGAGAGCCACTCAAAAGCACGGCTAGCGACTTGTTGCGAATCCTCAATGAGAGAATCAATCTCCTCCTTTGGACATTCTGGTCTGGTGGCCTTGTCCGTGCGCTCCAGGAGTCGTGGGATGTGTATGCAGATGTCGTTCAGAGCCACGTACGGATCCACTTTTGCCGCTTTGGCAGTCACTGCTAACCATTCCGTACTGTCTAGCATTGAGGCCTTCCGCATGTGGTAACCGATACTCAGCTAGCAGGCATTAGCGAGGCTGTACAGCATACGACAACACGATTCCTCATACCGAATTGTACCGTATGGCGTGGAAAATTTGCATGCTCAATCGACTCTCGAATGAAGCTGGCCCACGCTGCTTAAGAAGATGTAGAAGTCCCTGGACATGGTAGAAAAAGCCATGACCTTGTGTAACACCTACAAAAACCTATGCGAGTGGTTAGACCTGATAGCGAGAGCATTGGATGAGATCGCTTGTACCTCGTAAAGCGTGAGCATATACGTTGATAGCAGTGTTTCGTCTTTGAGTGCTGTCACTGGATCTTGTATTGCGCGCAACATCTGACTCAGGGCTGTGCCATATAGCGACCTGGAGCGATGGATGAGCGGATGATTTCTGTTGTTCACCGCCAGTTGCGCTGCAGAGAGAGCATCGATTGCAGCCATGAGTACCGGGCTGTTCGCGGGCATAGTAGGTAGGCCAAGCATCAGGGCTGAAGGGGGCGGCAACGCCGGACCCTCAGCTCTGGGCAAATACAGGGCAATGAAGGTTCCCAGATGCTGTATTCTGTCGGCGGCAACTGCGCTGACCTGCTTGGGCAGAGGCGCATCCTCAGGCTCCGTTTGCGCATCTTCTCTGCGTACGATGGCCTTGCTTGAGAAAGTTGTGTCGTTTTGTGAGCTTGACGAAGCTTGACTGGCGTACTTATAGCGATTCTCATCCTCCTTGATCAGGGATGGCTTTTCTCCGTGTGCATCGAAGTTGTGGAGAATAAAAGCCTGTGCTGGCCGATAGCCAGGGCATTTTGTTCCGCGCCTCACGCAGGTATTGCACTCTGGTTTGGTCTCGTCGCATCGAACCTTTCTTTTCCTGCACTCGAAGCAGCCAGCCGATCGCTTTGGCATTGTGAGACTACCCGTGGGACCACCACTGTTGAGACCTGGGAGGATGCGATGAGATATGGCACAAGATGGCTGATGTGTAGTTCCGTCTTCTGTCTTTCCGGTATGGACTGGGCTGCTAGGGGCGAGGACAGTGAAGGGCGCACACCACGCACCGCCCGCAGACGCGGCCGCTAGAGGCGATGGCCAAGAGGCACCCCGTATTCAACGGTGTTGGCCAATCAGTAGTGGCGGTGTCAGCGCTATTACCGGCTGGCTTCCAAGCTTTGCAGCCCTTCCCGCATGTGCTTCCCCTGGCATGCTCGTGCCAAAGTGACGGAAAGTGATGAGGGGTTCGAAGAGCTCGTTGCTTTCCGGGCGCTTCCTCGGCCCAGCAGGCGCGCGTCTTTACTGGAATGGAACAACTTCTCTTCCAACAAAGTATGGACTATGCATTCCTCGCGTGTGCCTAAAACTCGCGATACTCCTAAATCCAAAACACGAACCGAACGCTATCCCGGGGCGACCCCGCGATGCGTTGCAGTCCGGTGCACGGCTTCAATCGCTCTAAGCGAACCTTCCAAGGTTATAAGCGGCGAACGGTCCAACGCAATAAAGGAGACGGAATCACGACGGGACTCTAGAAATCGACAACTTAGTCGCTTGCTTGATGTTCTGGCGTATGGCGATATCGGTCGAGGGCGAAGGGAGAGAACCACGGCAAATGAAGTTGGGAAGCCGGCGTGATGTCTGCGACTGGTCACCTATTGACGGAAATTTTAGTACATGCGTCGATAGTCATGCCACATGTCATCGATGACTGTGGGAAGCGTACAGCGTCTGTCTCAACAGAAGCTGCAGAGTAAGACCGCGATGTTATATGGTCCGCCATTGCGACACGCGCTTTCATCCTGGAGGATCCTACAGCACGTGGTCGCCTCTCCATCTGGCAAGGCTTTGCGAAACCCCTCCACTTATTTCATGTTGACAGTGTATTATACTTGCGATTTCTCTCATTCGTGAGAGTATCTTTTCGTCAAGGTCGTCAATGTTGCGGAAGTTGTGAGTGGCTCGTTTCGCTCTGCGTTATCGCAGTACTATAGGATGAAGTGGATGGCAACTAAGAGATGGAATCGCACACAGGTGTGAGTCAAAGGGGAATGCAATAAAAAGGCTTATTTCATGTTTTAGGAAGGGACTGCGACCAACGCGCAAAGACGCATTACCCACACATGTGGTGGCTCGTGTATCATGGTGGAGCCTCATCGGCATGCAACACTAGTAATTCCAGCGTATCGTCGGTCGACGTACTACAGGTCAGAGGACTCTCGAGCAGCGACACGAATCATTCTACCTAGAATTTCACGGGCAAACAATGGGAGAACCACCGAAAGTGATCAAGACATGGCAACAGGACCTGGCCATTGATCTTACAAACTACCACTATGCTACAACGCTGGTATCTGCTTCAGCTCAACAAACTTATCGAACGCGTCAGTCAACGACTGGTAAGAGTCGATATGGCCGGTCCACCCAAATCTCCTCGCTTTGTTAACGCTCAACGTTGCCGACCACGTCCGCTGAAACACCCAATCCTGGAAAGCCCACGTACCAGATGCCCAAGTCGCCTTCGCTTCAGGACAACCGTTCTTATCGCAGATGCGCTCCCAAACCTCTTGCTTGTCCACAGCCCACTCAGCCAAGCTGAGATCTAGTTGCGTCTCTCCTTCTGATGGACGAGGCTTTTCAAAGATCTGCTCATTTGTTGCGTGGGCCCCTGCGTAGGCGGCGATGCGTGGCCACATGTATCTCCACGAAAAATAGTCACCGTTGACGACATTGAAGGCCTGATTCCCAGCGTGTGGATGTGTGGAGGCCCATACGGTCAGGTCGGCAATAAGTCTGGAGTCGGAAAGGTCGTCGTATCCTTCCCAATACAGCTGGTTCGTCGGCATACGCGCCTCAACGCCCATCTCTTTGCAAACGAGAAAGTACAAGGCATATGTCAAAGCTGAATTCATGCCGTTTGGCTTGGACGTGTGGCCGATAATGGCTTCTGGCCGAATGACGTTCCACGTCCAATTCTGGCCAGTTTGGCGTGTCGTTAGGTAGTCTTCTTGTGCGAAGTAGAAGTTGCCAAGCGGGCTTTCCCTTCTGGGCTCTTCCTCCCGAGCTGGAGATGGCACGGGACTGACGTGAACATTGTAGTGTTTTCCTCCAGTCTGAAGCGTACAGTTCTCCAGACTGGGAGCCACGACTAGTAGAGCGTTCAGGAAGTTGGCGAAGAGCTTTTCGTTGGCGTGGTTGAGTTCCGCAAAGTCGTCTTTGTGTACATACGAAGAGAAGTATGCATGAGTAACATCTTGGCATGCTGAGCGCATCTTTTTGATCAAGGCATCGGGATTATCGGTAAGATCGAGGGCTAAAAACATGATACGGTCATCGTGAACGGTGGTCTTGAAGGGCGACCGCGACGTGACGACGATCTTCCTCCACTCGGCAGAGGTCGTATTCTTCACAAGGTGCTCGATGATGGCTGAGCCTGTTATTCCATTGCCACCTGTAACTAGTGCGACTTTAGACATCTTCTTTGGCGTACAGGCGAATGAGGACCTGTTGCCAAAGGGTATGGGTATGGAGTTGCAGTTGCTGGGAAGGATGAGCGGAGGAGGTGCTGTGCCGATAGCGAATTCTCAGGAATGGGACTGCGCCCTTCAGTCAACGATGTCTTCCCATATATCTATCGCAATGCGCACGAACTGTACTTTGAGCGCGCCATCTGCCAAGAGTGTAACCCGCCTCTACGCAAACGCGGATGCCAAGTGGCATTGGCGCTGCCGAAACTCCTTGCAGTCTGGGGTAGGGGGTTCAGCAACGATGCCATTGGCGACACCAGCAACGATGCCATTGGCGACACCAGCATCTTGGTAAGGGTGTTCAACGAAACAAAGTACGGCTTGGTACACCCGTGTGGCATGGGTAAAGTGGTATTTCGCCTTTTCCAGGCGTAGGATGTAGTGACGTTGCGGGGAAGCGTGCAATCAAGATGCCACACAAACCTAGCACTCGTAATCAAGAGATTGGCGGCAGACACAGGTCACAACACACATAGCTATGTCGCTCCTTCTAGTGGACGGAAGGAAAAGGCCGCCAGCAGCCGGTATGAACTCGACCATCAGGTCGATCGCGCTCATGACCCGTAATCGGGACGCTAGCCTACAGCCAGCAGTACTACGGTCATGAATAGACAGATCCTCCTTGAAGATCAGTGAGGAGGCTAACTCATGCCATCAGTCCAGGCAACTCCAGTATTTGACTACTGAGGCCAAATTCCAAGGGTTATATTGTGCTCACTCACATGAGATTGCACTGTGATCGAATTGTTACATTCATTTGTGAGATCTGAGACTGGTAACAAGATATTCGAGCAAAATCTATACTATGCCCTGCCCAAGATCCGCAGCAACACTTCCGAAAGCTCCGCGGTTGGGTTCGCCACTAAATCCACGCAGCGCCAGCCAACGAAGTGGTCAGGCCTTACCAACACAACCCCTCTCTCCCCGACACCTCTCACTTGATACCATTCCCGGTATGCGTCCATGTAGTCGCCTCCGAAGCCGATCTTATAGGCGCGAACGAATACACCACTCATGTCCGAAACCTCCTTCGCTGCATGTAGCCAAGCATCGCCGCCGACGCCTGTGAGTAATGTGAAAGACCCTCGTCCACAGAGATCCAGACTTGAGAGTCTTTCTGCTTGCCCATTGGCTGCTAGCCAGACATGTGGAAGGTGATACCCGGGATAGGTGCTGGTCTTAACCTCTCTCAAAGCGTTGATATGGTTGAATTCGGGGGCAATATCCCCACTCTCAATCACCACTGCAGATGTGTTCAAGTAGACCTGGTTCATTTGGATGCCCAGTGCTTGCACTTCATCCTCGGTAGCTTCCAGTGCCTCTCGAAACTGATCGCGCATCTTCTCTCCTTCTGTCGAGTCGGACTTGAGCAGATCGGTGGCCTTCTTCCTGGACGAATTATCCAGGCCAATAAGTGCCCAAAGCGTTCGATGCGCCTCCATTCCATCGTTCGCGCGGCGGACGATACTATCGCCTACGGGCTTGCGCTCGACCGTAAGGGTATCAAGGAGAGATGGTGAAGCTAAGCCTTTGATAACATAAGCCAACTTCCAGGAGATGTTGAAAGCGTCTGATATGCACGTGTTGCTGCCGAGTCCGTTTATAGGGGGATGCCTATGTGTCGCGTCGCCGATACACAGCACCCTGCCGCTTTGCCAACTCTCAGCAACTTGATCATTGATTGTCCAAGAAAACGAGGACAAGATTTCGATATCAATCGAGTCGTCGCCAATCATCTGGTACAGCCGCTTCAGAATGGCGTCCTTGGTTGGCTGAGAGCTGTTCTTGTGCTTCGTCGCGGGGTGCATCGACACCACCCACTCCGTCCAAGGCCTGACCATGCGAAAGTTACCCACAGCCGACCACTCTGGCGCATCGGGATTCAGTACCCAGTTGAGGCTTCCTGGTCGATGCTGAATGTACTTAGATAGGTCGGCTTTGATATGGATGTTGAAGGCGGTGTTGAGCTGGCGGCCAAGTACTGGTATCTCGAGAGCCTGCAACACAGCGCTCCGGGCGCCATCTGCCCCGATTAGATAGCTGGATGTTATGTTGTACTCCTCTCCAGTCGACCTGTTTCGCATAGTCGTAACGATTACGTCAGCTATCTTCTCAAAACGCACGAATTCAGTGTAAAATCGGAACTCGGCACCGTGCCTCGTGGCTTCTTCGATCAGAACTGGCTCGAGGTAGCTTTGAGGCAGATCCGACATGGCGCAAGGACTCGCTCGCTCATAGTCGCCTTTTTGGGATGGTCGGTTACCCCAAGCCCAAACGCGACCATACTCTTCGCCAGCTAGTGTGTTCAGCCACGAGGTATGCTGCATACCTGCACTCGATTAGTACATGCTCGACATTTGGGATACAGGTAGCTGGTACTCCCAACGCAGCGAACATACATTCTGCAGTGCTTGCTATCGTGCCCAATTTCTCCTCGATACCCGCGTCCCTCAAAACTTCCATTGCTCTTTGGTTGAAGATGTGCGCTCGAGGGGTATTTGCCGTGCCGCTGTGCCTCGATATTGAAAGTGACTTCACGCCTTGTTGAGCCAGCAGCAATGCAGTGGTGGCGCCAGAGGGGCCCGCACCAACGATAACTACAGAATATTCCATGCTTCGATAGACAGGAGCGGTTCGTTGTACAAATCTGATTAGATGCTGAATACAGTAGATATGTTCACCACAAAGAGCACATCATGCTGTTGACGGCCAAGCATCTTGAAGACATACGCGGAGTCTAGTCGAGGCTAATCAATTATTTCAATGGTTTGTCGTGGCATGTCCACGACCTGTGTAGACTCTCGGCCTACTAAGTGGTATGTGTTCCGCTTGCATCACGTGCAAAGGACCATAAGTGCATCAATTCCGGCTTTCAGACGCGGCTTCATCAGACACCGCTGAAGGACGCAGTCTGATTAGTCGCAGCCATTCAATCTTCTCGAAGATCGCTATGTTCGATCTGCTGTTGGTGGATTACATACCACTTTATCCGGAGCATGTACGCGATTCTCCGCAGTGTACTCCACAGCAATGAGGTAATTCTGGGCGTAGGATAGTGGCTGCGGGGTAGAACCGGAAGTCGACCTTTGTACAGAGTCACTATATTCCGAAGGATGATGGGGGAAAATGTAAATGTTGGAAAAAGAAGGTTATCTCCTGGCCAAAATTGAGCTACCTAGGTAGGGCTGCGGCCCATGCTGTGAGCTAGGGTGCAAGTGCTGCAGAAGTCCATGACGTCACACTAATGCCGGACGGCTTTTGTGGCAGCTCTCTCCAGGTGTCGGAAATTGAGCAGGATTTGGGTGTCGCATTAAGGAGACCTGCGCAACATTAAATCCTCGCCAAAGGTCTTCGTAGAAGAATCATCCTGTACAACGCGTTTTTGGTCATCAACATCGCGTGAAAATACTTTCGTCGCAAAGAACTTCGGTATTATCTGGCGCAATTCATTATGACGGTAATAGCTGCTGCAGTAGCAGAGAGTCCCGTCGGACTACTGCTAATGCTTCGATGGGGGCTGATTGCTGTCTCCCTGTATCTGTTGAACACTCTCGTGAGCCACACCCATCTTCTTGCTATCAGAATCCCAAACGGAACTAACAGAACAACGAATTGTAGATCTTGTACCCTTTCTTGATGTCTCCAGTTAGACATATACCAGGCCCCTGGTACGCGCGGGTCTCCAAGTTGCCACTAAAATATGCCACGTACAAGCGTAGACGGTCGGACTACGTTACGAAGCTTCTTGATCAGTATGGACCCATTGTCGTCATCGCAACGGATCAAGTTCACACTGTGGACGAAAATGCAATGAAAACGATATATGACAAATCTGCACTCAAGACCTCATTCTACTCCTCAATGGGAAGCTGGAAAGGCGTCGTGTCCACTCTCGGTTTCGTGGACTACCCGTCTGCAGCCCCATCACGCAACAATTTGATCCAATGCTTCCAGAACAAAAACCTCGCGGCTTTGGTGGAGAACATCCAGTCGCACGTCGAGGATTTCATCCAGCTGCTCCATCGTAAGGATGAGGCCGAAGAAGCCGTTGACGGAGTCGTCGTCTTCCGCTTACTTGCGCTGGACATTGTGACCGATGTACTCTGGGCCGAAGAACACAGACTGCTGCACAACTACAAGGAGAACGACGCACCGGCTTTTCTTCGACGGTTTCACGCGTTTAGCACTTGGAACGCGATGAAGAGCTTCATCCCTGGAGCAGATTTCTACGTCAGATGGTTCGGCAATGAGAAGTGGAAGACATTAAGGAAAGATTGCCATGATATGGATGTCACGGCAAAAGAAGCTTTGAACCGCTGGGAGAATAGTGAGAACGCTGCTGGCCGACAAAAGGATGTTCTCTCGATGCTGCAGTCTATGAACAAAGTAAACGCATCTGCCGTTCCTCCGGAAGACATTCCCGCATACATGGTCGAGATGCTCGCAGCGGGTTCTTCGACTACTTCGCATACCGCTGCGTTTGCTTGCTGGCTTCTGACTCGCCATCCCGAGGCCCAGGAGCGACTTCGTGCGGAACTCATTGAAGCCTTGCCCGACTTGGAAAGCTTCGACATCAAGCGCACCATGAATCTCGAATTTCTCGACGGTGTTATTCGGGAGACCATGCGGATGTACCCTATGATCCCAGGGCCACTCGAAAGACATTTGGGGAAGGATCTTGTAATCGCTGGAAAGCAAGTCCCGAGAGGCGTGATCGCATCGACTGCAGCGCTCAACCAGGGACAGCTAGAAGAGGTTTATCCAGAGCCGCAGCTTTGGAAACCTGAGCGCTGGATCGGCGCTGATGAACGTATGAAACTGAACTGGATTCCGTTCGGCCATGGTTCTCGTGCCTGTCCGGGCTCGAATCTGGCTTTGACAGAACTCAAGTACATGCTAGGTTTGATCTTTCGAAAGTTCAAAGCAACAATGCCCCCCGGCATGGAAGAAGACAACCTGGCTCTGGCGGACGTCTTCGCAGCTGGATCGAAGACGGGCTCTTGTTGGTTGAAGTTCAGACGATTGGAGGCGTAATACTTCGTCACGTGGCTCGGGGGGACTAGTTGTGACCTTGGAAGTTACACAATAATAACCGATACTTCTACGTAACCCAGTCGAAGCACGAAATCTGATGTTTGAACGTGCTTGTGTGATGCGCGCTACTGATAGCCCCTCAATGCAATGGCATACCACTTCGTCTTAATCAACGTCCTTTAGTGACGGGAAAGTGCTGCTTTGATAGCGTGCCTGCTGCTTTCGCAAACGACGACCAGCCCGCAGGGCTTATGCGGCCATATAAATCCACGAACGACGACAACGTGCCAATTCTCTGCGGATCAATAGCCGTGGTCTCCTCGCGCCCTTCCAGTACGATTGAAGACTCTACAGAGTTCCTATTGACCTTGTCGTTACGCGCTCCTGTGTATGCCCATACAGCTACTGTGCTGTGATGTAAACCTATGAAAGCCAATAGGTTGAAATTTACCCTCTTTTCCTTCTCCAGCTTTGACTCTCGGTCTATAATGTTCCAGATACTGTAGGCCCGCTCAGCCGCAATCCGACCTTGTCGTGAGTTGGCCCATTTGCGCGCCTTATCAACGAGACGATCTTCGATAGTAAGATTATCGGCAAGTCGATACTGAATTTGATGGAGGTCTTCGAGTGGGACATGTAGGCGAAGATGCCCCAAGTGAAAGAGTATTAGACCACTCATCAAACAGCTACGGTCGAGATTGGTTCTCACGAATGTCTTGACTAGAGGAAGGCTTTGCTCCCACTTCTCAAGAGCAGAAAGTAAACGTCGGTGCTGCTGCCGTAAATCCTCCATCCGACGTACCGTACTATCCAAACAGTGTGTCTCTGAAGACTTGGTAGCGCTTTTTGATAGACGTCTTGTGCTGGGCCTTTCCGAACCAGGGCTCCTGCTGGCAATGGATTCGCAGGGATTATCAGAAGAAACAGATGATAAGTCATCGCTACTAAAGTCTTCAAGATCTCCGGACAAACGGGTGAACATATTGTGGTCCTTGGAAAAGCGCCAAATAGAGTATTGCAGTCCGAACATGAGAAGCTCTTGTCCTGCAGGATCCAGAGGTGGAAGCGGCTCATTCTTATCCGTGGCGATACGATAGATATCAGAAGCCCATAGTTCTCTACTAGGCGTTTGGTCATGCTCTATCATCTGCAGGCACAAGCTAGGGGACATCTTCTTGCTTCGCCATACAGCGTCGCACATTGGCAGCTGAAGGTCGATCTCCTCCATTGAGATTAGAGGTTTGCTGTGTAGCAACACACTAGTGTAGCTGTCGCCGCGGAATATACCGAATGCTAGTCGTCGACGTGTCTCCAGTTGTAACCACATCTCCAGACGCTCCTCATCTGAAGCAGTGTCTTTCATGCGTTGTAGCCTTTGCATAGCTTTGTCAAAATATGCGGCTGAGAAGAGATCCATCCTCCGAGCTTGAGCGACAAGCAAGGCGCCGAGATGGTGGGCGTAGGTGAAAGCCTTTGGCTGTCCGAAATACAGCGCAGCTACCTGAGTCAGCAGTCGCGCTTGTGCCAGCCAGAGAAGACCGAGCTCTTCGTTTTCAAGCTCCCATACCATGGTAAGAGTGCTCCGGATGGTGGTATGCATCATGGCCCCATAATTGCTCGCGTTGGAGCCGCAATACATCGATCCGATCGAAGTAAGAACGAGAAAAAGGATTGGATGAAGAGCGTCGAGGTCCAAGGTTTGCAAGCTGAACAGGGGCCATAGCGGTCCGAAATGTTCTACGTACTTGGCGCAGAAGTCGTAGAGTGCTGACGAACCCGAGCACTCTTGATAATCAGTGAGCCCAAATGCGAGTGCAACTTTGGCAGAAGCGAGGGCCCAGGAGTTTGCACCGTCCTTTTCTGACTGATTACCCCACGCTGGTGAGGAAGCGAGGCCGACTAGATTCTCAATAACTAGGTTTTGATTGTCTCTGGATGTGATCGACGCACTTTGATCCAGACTGCCTATTTTCATATCAGTAAGAATGCTCCACATCACGCTATCGAACGATGACTTACACGTATCCTCCAACGTGCCCGTGGCGAAGATATTCGTTGAGGCTTGGTGATGTGCTGTGCTGCTCGATCCGTCTGACGCAGAAGTCTGCCCTAAGAGCATCTCCACGTCCGGTTGGCCGACATGACTCTGCGTTGACAGCGAGCCAAGATTGGCGAAGGATTCCAAGTCAAGTCCGGCAAGCGTTTCGTCTTGAGAATATGGGAATTGCACAGAGCTCATCGTGTTGGCCAACGAGTGGGGGTCGGCAGGTAGAAAGAGGTTTTCGTGTAGCCACGGCCAAGACATGGTTCCTATATCGGACGTCTCACCGGTTGCGACGGAGGATGTGGAGTGTTCGGGACGAATAGGTATGCCCGCTAACAAGCAATCGTTGTACGGATCGTAGATTGACTGTCTGTCCAGGGAGCTCTGGCGTACATGATGGGTACCTGGATGGAGATCATGTTCTCTCGGATGCTCGGCGCTCTGGATAGGCAAGCATGATCTCTCGTACGACAAGCAGCCCACATCGTCTGGCTGGTCGTCATGTTGGTTGGACTCGTGTGGAGGTGCATCGGTGGCCGGTGTCGCGACATGTGGAAGAACCTGGCTCAGCCTATTGGAACGGCTGGAGTATTGACAGGAAGAGTCGGTGTTCAGACATGTATAGCACGGACGCTGTCCATCACATTTCGTCCTCAACTCTCTACATCGGAGACACGCGGTATGACATCGCTGCCTTCCCGATGCGGCAGTTGCACTGCCGATCTGGGCAGATGGCGGTTCAACTGTGTCGTTGAGAGACGAAGGCTGGTGAAGCTTCGAGTGTCGAGACAAAAGATCCCTGCGATGGAAGACGACGCCACAAGTTGAACAGCGGTGCTTGCAGGTCTTTTGGTGGCTGTGTTGATGACGCGTCAAGGAGTTTTGCGAACGATAGGTCCTTTCGCATTTGGTGCATGGGTACATGATGTGAGGATGAGATGAAAGACTTGGAGAGCCCGAACGGCTTCTCCATGGCGCGGCGAAGGCACCTGGGCATGTTATGCATGTTGGCACTGACTGTCGGCTCAGCACTCGAGCCGTCGGGCTGCCCTTGGCACGCTAACGCGACCGGCGGGCGAGGGCTGCGGGGTCGAGCTAGCTGATGTTCTCGCCTCGATCTGCTTGCACGCGCTTCCCAGGACTCAAGATCACGACTTGAATTGCTATGGACACATGGTACCGGTTCCTGCCATCCATCTCTACGTACATGGATTCAACGGGACGTGCTGTCTACTTTCTCATCATGCATCAAACGACATGCGATTCGACATTCGGCCAATTCCTCCAATCTCCACCTCGACCCTGTCCCCATCTTCGAGAAAGGCTTGCGGCTTCATGAACAGTGCGACTCCACCTGGAGTCCCGGTCATGATCAACGAGCCTCGCTGAAGAGTCTGGCCTTGACTGCAAAATGCGACAAGTCGTCGGACGCCAAAGCACAGATCTGACGTATTGCTTTCCTGTCTGATTTCCCCATTGACCATCGTCCTCAGCGACTGTTTGTTGGCTTCTCCTAGGACGTGAGTGGCTACGATACACGGTCCCAGCGGCGCGTACTTGTCGAATGACTTACTGAAGGACCACTGCGGAACAGGCCCTGCTTTCCCAGCTTCTCTTTGCCAGTCGCGCGCGGAGACATCGTTACCTGCAGTATATCCAGCCACATAGTCCAACGCATCGGCTTCCACTATGTTCTTTGCGTCTTTGCTGATGACAATGACCAGTTCACCCTCGTAATCGCATTGCTCCTGTGCGAAACAAGGAATTGGGACGTCCTCGCCGTGATCCGCAACGGCTGGCCCTGGCTTAATAAAAACCGTTGGACACGTTGGAAGCGGCCGTCCGGTCTCGAGAACTTGGAATCTGTTAGATCGGGTGCTTCTCCCACTAGTGTTCCAATCCTATACATACTGTGTGTTTTGTAATTCAATCCAATGCAACGGATGATTGGGACATGAGCTGGCTCGAGCGGTCCCAGCAGCCTCGCCACTTTGTCGATCTCGCCTGTTGGTGTCGCACTCAGCGGATCGTTTCCATGCAACCTCTTTACTTCAAGTTTTCCTTCCTCTGCAATCTGAGCAATCAAATCCACGTCTGAGCCTGAAATGATGGGGTCGCCATAACGAATATCCTGATCAGTCCCTTGCGCAATGTAACGAACAAATCTATCCCACGCAACTGGCTCCGAAGACATCGTGAACAGCTAATCGCGGAATAGGGAAAAAGAGTTGGAGCTAGCAGGTCGCACAGCTCTCAAGGCAAAGGCCGCTCCTATGTGTTGTCGGAGTTCACCAACTCTCACTCCTCTATCAGCATATGCAGTGTGGTTCTCGGAAACGCGCATGAATATCAGTGGTCGAAAGGCAGCGTATCCGCTTTCCGACCCAGGAACCAGCCAAGGCATACCACCTTATCCGCTGTACCAAAATACAGAGACTGAAGTCGAATCAATTTGAATTTGTCAGCGATAAGTTGCAGTCTTGGTTTTCGGAATACATCCGCGGACAATACGCAGCTTGACTATGTGGGCTACTTGGGCTGCTTTTGAAGCGGGGTAAACGCGTACCACAACGCGCATAGTCAGTCAGAATCCAGATGCACAGGTGGCTGCTTTTCAGATGGTGTATGTCTACATAATAGCAAGCAGCGAAGTCTGTTCACGTGGTTTCATAGGCTCTGCTAAGTTCTTCACGTAGTTCACTTGCCAGACTTCACTGCGTCAATACACGACTGTTCACGCGGAAACGGTCTGGGATGATGAATATTCCTGGGAGTCTGGCACCTGACGTAAGCACTCGCTTTCCAGAACGACGCGTTGTACTCATCGTGCTTTCAGGGAACGAAGCTTTGGCTTCTTCATGTAGGAGACGTGGTAGCTGATGAGGCTTTCATGATCACCGGGGTACGTCTCAATCCATTCAGCCTAACAACGCTGGCGCTGGCATCAGAAAACAGC